ACAATCCATTAGTTAAATTATTTTAAGCAAGGTTTTTCTTGCATTTTTTCTTTAATAATTTTGAATTAAAAATGAAAATTTCGATGTAAGAAATAAGAATTCAGTTGAATAAATTGACATTGTTTTATGAATTCAAGTACAATTCTATTATTATATGCAGGGACGAAGCCAAGATCTGATGGGGTGTTTATATGTTAAACACCCTTTAGTTTTGACAACACATTTTAGCTCTACACTTTGTTGTTCAAACATATCTAATACAATGAAGTATACCATAGCATTTATTTTTGTGGTGAAATAATTACACATTTACACCTCCAAAACATGGCAAGCACCACATGGTGATGAAGTTTTTAACTATTAAAAATTGGGAAATAATCAAGTGATTTGTGCTATCATATTAAAATAAATAAAAGTTGAGGGGGGCCTAAAATTTTTACTAGGTAAACTGTGTTGGAATAAAAAGGTTGGGTGGGGTCCAGGGGTGTAGTTAGGGGTGGCCACCCTGGCCCAACCCAAATTTTAAAACTGTTTATATTTTTAGTGTAAAAGAATCTCGTGTAAAAATTTTTCTAAAAATATTCTTTGTACAAGTCCAGTCCGGCCCAGTGTTCTGCCTCCGCCCCTGGTGGGGCCAAGGCCCCATTGGTTAACACACACCTCACCCCCTGACTATATGTACATGTATCATCATTAAAAATTTGTGTTTCATGTTCTTTTTGTCTATAAACTCCACCAATCATGACTTTATGAGCCCGTTTAGTAGCACGAAAATCGGCTGATTTGGCCGATTCTGCTGAAATTTATGAAGTTCTGGCTGAAGTGGCTGCATTGACTGATTCTGCTAATTTAAGAAATAAATGTTTTTAAAATATATATTTTATTAATAAATTAAAGAAAATATTATATGTAAAAATAGCTAAAATGGTCATCTACAGTAACTTCGGCCAATACAGTCAGAAAAGTAACTCCTACCTTACGTTTTCTGCGTATCACACAAGTTCAATGCGCGAAAGCATACGTTACGTGTTTGGCGAAAAAGTTGGCTGATATGTTTGATAAGCCGAAAAACAATGTTGCCAAAGAGACACTATATTTTTTAAACTTTATGATGTAGTATTGTTATTAATTAATGATCATTTGATGATAGGATTCTTGCAAGTTGCAAGGTCTCCTACATAACTTCTACAACATAAATTTTGATATATATTTTATAAATATTGGAATACAAATAAAAACGAATTTGTTTCTTGTATCTCGAAAACATGGGACTCCATCTTTTTTCCCTGCCATTTCTTCTCTTTCTGTCAAGTTGGGGAATCCACCCCCAAATAGTCTCCCCTTCCCCTCTCTACTATCTCAGACATCTCCATGGTGTTATTTTGTTAACACTTCAAGGAGGGTCACCCTCTACCTTAATTGTTGCCATGTAACCATAAATTTCATTTTTTCTTTAAATTGTTACAACGTTTTATTTATGATTTAATTTTTGTGAAAACATATACTCCCTCCGTCCCGAAAACAACTTCCCGGTTTGACCTACACACATATTTAGGAAATAAATTTGACTTTACTGTAAAGTGCACTGTTTGGCACTGTTTAAACACTGTTTGGCACTGTTTAAACACTGTTTGGCACTGTTTAACACTTTTTTGATGTAGATAATTTGCCAAATAAGGAAAGTATTGAAGTGAAAAGTTAATTTTGGGACATCCATTTAAGGAAAGTGGGAAGTTGTTTTCGGGACGGAGGGAGTATCAAATTTAAAAACTTCTTATTATCTTTTCAATGGTATCGCTATTGTATATAAAAATTTGAAAATAATAATAATTTTTTTAAGTATTTACCTTTAGCTGGATTTTTGTTTTATTTTTCATATAGAATATTGGTACCACTTGACGGACCATACAAATAAAAATTTTGATATATTTTATTAGAAATTGAATAAAAATGAAATAGTTAAAAAATCGCCAAATTATAATATGTTGTCTTGCCACACACCCATGTATGGTGGGGGTGATGTTCTATCCTCCTCATTAGCTGAACTCATCCAATTAGCCGCAACGTATACTCTGACCATTTGTATGTAGTGGTTGGGACTCCGTCCATATGAAAACAGTGTTTTGACTCCGTCAATACTGTTTTCCCCTGCATCCGTGCACCGTCAATAAAATACACTCAACATATTTTTTTACATATCAATTTAGTAAAACATTAATTAATTTATTATAAGTAATGTTTTCCGTTTAATATTTTCCCTAAATAATTGTGAAATAAAAAATACACATTTCAATATAAAAATAAATAAATTTCATTAATTTTTTTTAATGTTTTCGGTTAACAAAAATGAACTTAGTTCAAGTAAGTTCGATTATAAAATATTCAGTTATTTGTGAAGATTCCATGAATTAAAAATTTGTGTTTCATCGTTTTGTAAACGGAAGAAAACTTCAACAGTTAACACTTAAGAATTTTTGTTTCATTTTATATATTACATATTGGTGTCATATGAAAGATCATAAAATTTTATGAATTTTGATATATATTTTGAAAATTTTGGAGAACAAATTAAAAAGTTACAACAGTTTAAAACAATTTGGGGTTATAATGATGTCACCATGATGTCATCGAAAACATGATTTGGCCCGACATGCAACGTACGAATCCATCCCCATCCCCTTTTTTCTTTTCTTTTTTATTTATTTTTGGCTGTCAACCCCTCCCTCTATATTTACACTCCTTCACTCCCCTTTCCACTTTTACTTCCCCTTTTAATCCTCCACTACACACAAATAAGAGTCTAAAATCTCCATTTTTAATCTTTTGACTCCTAATCCCAAACTAAGAGTCTTAGGAGTCCTCATTTTACACATTTTAGCCTTCTATTTCCTTCCCCACTACTTATGGATTGGTGTCATTTTACTTCCTTAGCCGTCAGCCCTCAAGTCTTTTCTTTATGCTAGTTGCTACCGAAGTGCAAAAAAATTGTTTTTATGCTTTCACCCCAAGTTTGCTCCACAAATTTCTTGTCTGTGTCTACAAACATTAATTTATATACAAAGTACAAAAGCATTTTGATTGCATTTGACATAAATAGTAGAGAAAATGACGGAAGTAATACTACCACACACTTAAAAGACAAAAATAAGGCCCATTTAAAATCTGGACAAAAACAAGACTAATAACAAATGAATGGACAGAAACACCCCAAGTAATTCTCTCAAGTGCTGCAAATCATTTGCCCTCTCGCAAATCCGCTCATCTCCCTCACCTGCGCTTGGAGCACCCATGTCCGCCGCATCCATCACAGCATTAGTCACGACGGTTGAAGCTCTGCCATCTCCGTCGAAGCTTTGCCATCTCCATCTCCTTTGAAGCTCCGCCATATCCGACGAATCTCTGCCATCTCCATAGATCCTCCACCGCCAGAGTACCTCCATCACCGCCTTTTTCTAGGCGCATCGTCACCGTCATCCAGTTTCATCTTCTTCATTTTTCTCTTCTTCTCGAATCAATTGTTGATTTTGTGGCGAGGGGCCATTGAGATGGAAATCAAATCACGCTAGGGTTTGGTGGCTACGTGGCAAATAGTGGCGGTTGTAGCGAGTCAATGACGATGTTGGATCTATTCATGGCGCGCGGCTAGGCTTCACAGATCTGACCGGTTCAAGTGGTCGCGGATCTGGCCGGTGCAAGTGGTGGCAGATCTGTCACTGGAGCCTAGGGGTGGGCTGGTGGGGTAGGCGACGGAGTTGGCGGGGTATGGCTGTGGAGGAGGGTGGTGCCAGAGAGGGTTGGGGGCTGGGACGGGGCTATGGACGTGGCTGAGAGCTGGGGAGTCAAGTCGGGGTGGGCGGAGGCGCTGGTTGGGTACCGTAGTGGCAGTTGGCAGTTAGCTAGCGATGTTTCGGTGGTGGTTTCCGGTTGTGGTGGCTCAATGTCTGCTAGTGTAGTGTGACGTGGGCGGGGTTGGGGTGGGCTGGTTGGGAAAGGGTTGACTGGTGGGGCAGGGGGCGAGGCATAGGCAGACTGGCGGGGCCGGGGCGCCAATGCTCCGAGATGGCAAAAATTAATTTGTCACTGGCAGGGTAGTGATATCACTGTGATCGGGTGGTCACTAGAGCCGGGTAGTTACTAGAACTCAGATGATTAGTGAGGCGAATGTCATTAAGCGTTGGTAACTGTCAATTTGGTCACTGAGATTGGGGTGGTTTGGAGCCGGATGTCACGATAGTCGGGATGTCACTAGAACTGGGTCACTAAGTGTTGGTAACTGCGTCATTGGTAACTAGAGTGTATAGTCACCGTGTCACTCGAAATATAGTCACTATGACATAGGTCATTGTAATACATTGGTCAATTGAGTAACTGCAACTAGTAAAATTGGATAAATAAAAGTAGTTGAGTTGAGTAACTGTAACTGATTAGGTCGAGTAACTGTAATTGGCCGAAAGTTGGTCACTAGACATACAAACGTAAGTCATTGCACGGGCGGAAGTCACTATTTTATCAAGCGGAATTTTTGGTAACTGACGATTTTTGGTCACTGGTGAATTTTGGATTTTTGATCACTAATGATTTTTTGTCACTGATGAATTTTGGTCACTGGTGAATTTTGGATTTTTGGTCACTAATGATTTTTGGTCATTGGATGAATTTTGTAACTATGTCATTGGTAACTGTAACATTGGTCACTGCACATTTGGTCACTGTGGCGGGTTACTGTAGCAGGCTAGTGGGTTTGGGCTTAGTAAGGGTGTAATAGTTCCTTAAGGATTATTTAGTCTTACTTTTGGAACTTAAAAGAAAAGTCTCTTTTTTTGTCCAAATGCTTTTAATTAGTATTATTTTAGGACAAACCCCTAAATAGTAATTAAATACTAATGGAATTATCATCTAAATCCGTATCCATAAAAACTCATTGTAATCGGAGTATGAATTGAGGATGCACAAAAGCATCATGATAACTATGTTATTCCATATGATAGTCACATGCTCCATAATTTTTGAGTGACATAAGTCTTAAATTCGAATCGTGATAACTGCGATTACAAAATTCTATATAAAATCACATATAATCTCAACAAATATTTGAGTCATAATCCCACTAATGATCTCTCAGTGATTAAAATCTAGTTCAGGTTCTCCTAATTAACTCTAATTAAGTGTACTGCCATGCTTGGACTCTTGAGATAGTTGTCATCCTTTAATTCTATCCCTACCTCTTTCATTCTCCCGCCCACCTCCATCCACAGTTATCATTATATGCAATCATAGCTTACCTCCCCCGAAGCAACACATCCAATAAATATGTATATATACATCACTAGCTACGGCGATTTGCAGACTCGCTAGCCGGAGTTTATATGGCTAAACATCCACTCTTCTCCAGCTTCTTATCTGTTCTTGGCCTCCTACTCCTCCACTTTGGCTGTTTCATCTCCTCCTCCGCCTCCCGCCGCCGCCGGCGTGAACACCACCGCACCACCGCCGGAGCTGTGTCTGTTTCTTGGTTCTTCATTAAACGCCTCTTCCGCTGCGTCCTCCCTCCTCAGGCGCCTAATCTTTCCTCCCGGCCGTCTCCCTGTTCCTCTTCTGGATTATTAGCAAAGCCCATCTTCACCCCTTTAGCCTCGCCGGAGAAGCTCATATCGGGTCGACCCGCTTCCGATACCCAATCGGGCCAACCCAATATCTACCCCTGCAGCCTTTGCGGGGAGATTTTCCTCTTCGCCGGCCTTCTCGAGAAGCATCAGTTTGTGAAGCATGCGATCTGGGAGCTCGAGGGAAGCGATTCGGGCCACAATGTCGTTCGGATCATATTCAAGACGGGTTGGCCCGCCATAGCCAAGAATCCGGTTATACACCGGATCCTGAAGATCCATAATAGCCCGAAGATTCTGGCCCGGTTTGAAGAATACAGAGAGTTCGTGAAGTCGAAAGCCGCACGCGAAGTAGCCGGGAGGAGGCGGGACGCGCGGTGTATCGCCGACGGAAACGAGTTGTTGAGATTCCACTGCTCCACTTTTCTGTGCGACTTAAACCGCGGTGTTTCCGGCGGCGGCGCGTGCAGTTACCAGTACTGTAGCGCGTGCGGGATCATCAGGAGTGGATTCTCCGCCAAGATGGACGGAATACCGACGCAGTCGTCCGGGTGGAAGGCCCACCGGGCGGTGCCGGAGGAGATAGAGGAGGAGTTCCAGTTTATGCGCGTGAAACGGGCGATGTTGGTATGCCGGGTCATCGCGGGCCGGGTCGGGGGCGACCCGGACGTAGTAGAGAAGGAGGGTCCCGGGTTCGATTCCCTGGTCGGGAGAGGGAATGGGGTGTGCCCTAGATTGAACGACGAAGATGAACTGTGGGTCTACAATCCGAGGGCTGTACTGCCTTGCTTTGTTATAGTGTACACTGTATAGGACTATACGCAAATTATTACTGTCTGGCATGTCAAGTTGGCAACCATCTTGATTGGGAAGGAATGTGATAAAATGAGTCCAAAATAGTCAAAATACACTTCAATATGGGTTATTTTCAAATACCTCCATGAGGTTTAGGCATTTGACACTTTTAGTCAAAGTATGAATGGAGTATTATTGATAAGCCCCTCTACTATAAAATACATGTATGGCAGAAGGGGTCACCCCTACTTAACCAAGACTGCGATTTTTTTTTAAACTAAAGGAGTGTTTGTATTTGATTAAAAAAAAGTACTTTTCAGCTTTTGGCTTAAAAAAAGTTAAAAAGAGTGTTTTCAAATGAAAGCTTCTGCTTAAATTAATCACTTAAAAGCTAAAAGCTGAAAGCAGGTGGAAGGGTGCTTTAAACTGCTTTTCACTTTTTCTATTACACAAAAAGTACTTATTTTACCAAACACTACTAACTTTTACTTTTTCAGAATCACTTTTTTCTCAAACACTATCAACTTTTACTATTAATCACTTTTCTCAAAATCACTTTAAAAAATCACTTCTTTAAAGTTGAAGCAATTGCAAACACACCCTAAGACAAGGAAAAATTGACACATCCGTCCCTGAATTATCTTCAAACTTTCTTTTTTTGTCCGTCCCAAAATTATCTCCTCTTTCCCTTTTTGGCAAAGAATTTGTGGTTCACAACCATTCTTACACATTCTTATATATTTCTCTCTCCTCTGCACAATTCTCCACCACACAAATCCAACTATCTTAATTAGTGTGCCCAGCCGAAATGGGAGATAAAACAAGGACGGGGGGAGTATAATAATAGTTGTTGGGTTAAGGGCCCAAACCGAGGTCCGGCCCACTAACCTTTTCTTCACCAGACGTGCGTCCAGTCAGACCACGAGGCCAGCCCGCAGGCCCATACTCCTTGGGAAGGGACGAGCGTCTGGGGTTGGGAGTTCAGGCCCAGCGGCTCCTCCCGACGAATGTCTATGCAGGGGCAAGGAGCAGGACCACGGGCCATCAGGGGTGACGACGGACGTCTCCTGAGCAAGCCCATAGTCATCGGAGGAAACCCAGTCCACATGGTGAGAATCCATCAAGGCCAGGAGACGAACAGCCGGAACCTCTTGAGGGTCACTTGGAACGATCCAGCTCGCTTCCCGGGTGGACGGACGTCCCCATTATTTAAGCGGGAAACCTAGATTCTGGCGGGAAGTGCATTTAATGCTGAAGATTTGGTGGTTGGGACACAAGCGGTCCACAGGCCTCCACGTCAGCATAGCCACCTGCCCATTGGCGGGTATAAATAGAAGCATTTATTTCATTGTAAGGGGTTGGCAACTTTCTATTATTAGCACTCTAGCTATAGCATTCTTACTCGCAGCACTTCTACTGCCTTGTAAGACGAACGGCCGACGGAGCCTTAGCAAAAAGTATTGTATTAGGGAGTTATTAAGAGATAATAATACCTAATCATTTACTTGCTACCTTACTGCCTTTCTAATCCATATCATCTGCTTGTTGGGCTAGTTTAATCACACACACTCCACTCGAAATCCTTGGGCTTACGTGTTGGACCCGGGGGTTAAAGGAATAAACCTCAACACTGGCGCCGTCTGTGGGAAACTGAACTAAAAGTTTCCAAAAAACTCTCCCAAACAGCTACTAAATCTACCCACAGCAAGCACGATGACAAGAAACAACCGCCAACGTGACCTCTCCGAGCAGCTGTCCCGCGGACGAAGCAACCGCGGACAGACCACAGAGCGTTCCGAGACGTTGGGGACAACCGGGGGAGAGGGTGGCCTCACAAACCTCATCCCCCATGAGGCCAGGCATGACCCTCGGCTCATGCGGGAGCTGGCAGAAACAATGCGCCGAATGGCGGACGAACAGGAGGCGAACGAAGAGGTGTACTCAGCTAACACCATCTGGACGCCCATATCACCCATCCACCGCATGCAGTCCCTGGATGAGACAGCGGAATCGGCCGGGCGTCGGACGCCCATCCACATGAGGTTGGGTCAAAATCCATCCTCCCACGGAGTTGGGGGGCACACCGGCGCCAGCACTCCTCGGTATGGTTGGCAGGACGATCATCGAGGGCGTACGCCGGACGTTCCCTCAGAACGTTAGGGCACCACCATCACCCCCGCTGCCAGTAATATTGGACGACGTTTCCAAAGGCATGGTGCCCATATCACCCGGAGGCAACCCGACGCGGTTGCCCCTCGAAGGAACATTGCGCTCGAGGCCGCCCCTCCTGTGTCCCCCAGAAGGGCCGCACAGGAGGCCCGGCTAGAGGCAATGGAGCGGCGAATAGCCGAAATGGACAGACGGGCGGAGGCCACCCCGGCTACACCACGTTTTTCCCTCACCTCGCCTTTCACTCCGAGGGTCATGAACGCCGAGATTCCGCGGGACTGCAGGCCCCCCCAAGGGATAGTATACAATGGGACCGGAGATCCCAAGGCTCACCTGATCAGCTTCAAGGGGAACCTTTCCATGCTGGGGGCATCCGATGAGGCTATCTGCCAGCTTTTCTTCAGCACCCTGAGGGGACCGGCGCAGGAATGGTTCGGGCAGCTGAGGCCCGGATCTATTGACAACTACAAACAGCTGTCCCAGCAGTTCATGGCCCAATTCGCTGCCAGCACCACCCCCAAGAAGAGCTTCACATCGCTCACCAGTGTGAAGCAAGGAAAGGGCGAACCTCTGGCCCAATTCCTGGTCAGGTGGAGAGACGAAGTACTCCAGGTGGACGACCTGGACGAGCGGCTGGGGGTGAATCTGTTCACCAGTGCTCTGGCGACGGGGGACCTATACCGAGACCTTCGGAGGAATCCCAGCACCAGCTACACTGAGGTGCTGGCTCGGGCGCAGAAGTATGCCTCCATTGAGAAGGAGATCAGATTGAGGGACGGCGCTCCTGTAGCCCCTCCCCGAAAATTGGCGGATAGGCTCGGCCCTGGAGGCGGACCATCCCCCCCGAGCAAAAAGAAGAAGACGGACGGCGGCATGGTTCCGTGGAGGGCTCATCCGGAGGCCAGCCGCGTACATCCGGAGGAATACCACGTTCCTCTGGCCTACCCCGTCAGTCAAATTTTCGACGCCATCAAAGACAAGGGCATCCTGAGAGAGCCCCAAGACAAAAAAGCGCGTATGGGACTTGACGAGACCGCATACTGCGAGTACCACCAGAGGATCGGCCACCTCACCGACAATTGCAAGCAGTTGAGAATGGCCATCGACGAACTGATCCGGCAAGGCTACTTGGGCGAGTTTACCCAACTGCTGAAGAAGAATAACCCGAGGCAGCCGAATCCCAGGTCGCGATCATGGCGCCGCGACGATCGGCGCGAGGCGGAACCGAAGGACGTAGACTATCGGAGTGCTGACAAACGTCCGGAGGGATCCCTCGGCCCGAACGGTGGGAAAAAGAAGCTGGAGATCAAGGTGATCTTTGGGGGCGCTGAGACTGGGGACACGCCTGCGGAACGGAAAAAGTTTGAAAGATCCCTCTATGTGGGCTCCATATCAGCACCCCCCGCCAAAAAGAACAAGGTGGAGGCCATCACCTTTGGACCGGCCGACCTGCCTATGTCACCGGCCCCCCACAGGGATGAGTTGGTGATCAGCATGGATGTCAACAATGCGATCGTCCGACGCGTCCTCGTTGATACGGGAAGCAGTGTGAACGTCCTCTACTGGGAGGCGTTCGAGGGAATGAAGTTGAGGAAGGATCAGCTGGCCCCCCTACGTACCCCTCTGTCTGGCTTCACAGGGGACTGCATCGATGCGGAAGGCACCATCGGCCTCCCCGTGGAGATCGGGGATGGACCCCACACTACTCGCATCCGGATGACGTTCGTCGTGCTCCGCCTGAAGTGTGCCCACAACGCGATTTTAGGCCGCCCCGGCTTGGAGGATCTTGAGGCCATCTGCTCCGTGCGGCACTCATGCATCAAGTTCCCCACCGAGACAGGAGTGGGAGTTGCCCGCACGGATCCGCACATGGCCAGGGCCTGCTACACCAAGGCCATGGAGAGGTTCAGAGAGCGAGAAGCCCGGGTCAACAGCATCACTGAGAAAGCCAGGCAGGCTGACTTCGACGCTCGTCTGGAACCGGCTGCCCTGCTCGAGGAGGTGGAACTGGATGACCCTTCGGACAGGAGGGTGTCCATCGGGGCCGATCTAGAACCTGAGATCAAGGAGGGGGTCATAGCCATCCTCCGGAAGTTCAAAATCCTATTTGCCAGAGGGCCGGAGGACATGCCTGGCATAGACCCCAACCTCATATGCCACAGACTCGCCGTACGGCCGGATGCCAAACCTATCCAACAGAAGAAGAGGTACATGGCAGCCGAGCGGCGAGATTTTATCAAGAAGGAGGCTGCTACGCTCCTCGGCATCAAGCACATCCGGCCGGTCATCCACGTGGAGTGGCTAGCTAACGTGGTGTTAGCCCCAAAAGGCGACACGTGGCGGATGTGCGTCGATTACTCGGATCTCAACAAGGCCTGCCCGATGGATCCGTATCCGGTGCCGAGGATCGACTTGCTCGTAGATGAAACGGCGGGTTGCGAACTGCTCAGCTTCATGGACGCGTTCAGAGGCTACAATCAGGTGTTCATGCACCCTGATGATGCAGAGAAAACGGCGTTCGTCACAGCGGACGGCGTGTACTGTTATGTGGTCATGCCATTCGGCCTGAGGAATGCCATGGCCACTTTCCAAAGGATGATCGGGATGTTGTTCAAAGACGTACTGGGAAAGACCATGGAGGCTTACGTGGACGACATCCTGATCAAAAGCAAGAAGAAGGAAGACCACGTTCGGGACATGGAGAGGATTTTCACCATCATGGAGGGGGCTAGCATGAGGCTCAATCCAAAGAAATGTGCTTTTGCCGTCAGGGGCGGCAAGTTCCTCGGCTACATGATGAGTGAGCGGGGAATCGAGCCTAACCCAGAGAAGGTGAAAGCAATAGTTGACATGGAAGCCCCGAGAAATCTGAAGGACGTGCAACGCCTCACCGGGAGATTGGCGGCCCTGAGCCGATTCATGTCAAAACTAGCAGACAGGGCAATTCCCTTCTTCCAGATCATGAAGAAGGCGAATCCCTTTGAATGGACACCGGAGTGCCAGGCTGCCTTCGAAGATTTCAAGATATACCTCTCCTCTCCGCTCGTCCTCACCAAGGCAGACCCCGGGGAGCAGCTGTACATGTACCTGGCGGTGGCGG